TATTTTTAATGGGGTGGATCGTAGGGGTGCAGTAGACATCAAGGCTGGCCATGTAGTATTTCAGGTGTTTGTTGATAGAGTTACATATTTGAGTATGGTTCTGCTTTGAAATGAAACGAGGGGAAAACAGATGTGATTAGCTTTTGTCAGTTTACTATCTGGCTGCAGAGATAAGAAGACATTTCAAGTGTGTCAAACATGAATCCCAGTCCAAAAAACAAAGGTGGTGCATTTCCTTTCTTTAAATGAACCTGACATGAACTCTAAACTCTCTAGGCAGAAACTTCACCCTGATTCATTTATGGGGACCCCTCTCCCCCATGTTGGATGATTTGGTATCATGATTTATGTTTTGTCAGGTCTGGTCATAATAATACCTTTCCTTGTCCTCCATAGGGTTCCTTCTGGTTCTGTGGCTGTGTAACCAGCTGTTGGCTCCCAGTGCATATCTCTTGGCACCTAGCTCTGTCTTGCAGACACTTTTTACGGAGGTCTTGGTACTTCTACAATTGCTGTTATGGAGTTTCTAGAATTTCTCCTAAGATTGCTCAGAATCTCCACTCCTTTCTTTTTGCAAGTCTTTCAGCGTGATCTATCTATTCATGAGTTTTAATAAGCACAAGGCACTACTATTTATTATGGGCCACTAGAATCCCTGCAACAAGGGTTTTGGAATCTTTGCTACTCTGATTAAAAATCAGTGGAAAGGAATTACATAGGAAAAAGTTTATCCAAACTAATGCTCTAGTAGCTAGACCCAAGAGGAAATACTGTACAGTAAATGCCAAATGTCAGTGAAAGTGTAGTTGCTTGGAGTGTACTTGGAGTGATTCAAAAACTTCATATGAAGGAGATAAAACTTAACTGAGCTTTAAAGGATGGGTAGGACTCACTAGAAGGGTGTCTTTTGTGTGCTTGTGTATCTAAGGGCAGTGCTTTCATATGTGTATCTTCAGAGGTGGTGACACATGGATAAATTGGGTTGAGTGTTGTCTTGGTTACTTTTCTCTTGTTGCTGAGACAAAATATCTGATGCCCAAAATTAAGGAAAAGTTTATTTAGCTTACAGTTTGTGGAGGTTTTCAGTCCATACTTGGCTGGCTTCAAGGCAGAGTGGCACATGGCAGAGGGCAAAGGTTCATGGCAGCAGAACACAGTAAAGCAACAAGAGCCAAAACGGAGGAATGGTAGCAAGCAGCCTCTTTTTCTCCCTTACATAGGCAAAACTGTCTGCCCCAGGGCAGATGTAGCTCTACACCCATAATCAATCAAACTCTAAAAGCCTGCCCCATAACCCCATGAGGCTTTGAGGGGACACCCAGGCAACAAACCATAACAAGCGTGTGTGATACATGTTGAGAATACGTGGGTCCTGAGCTAACAGAACAGAGTTGAGAGTTTATACTGTTACAGAAGAGCTTCAGAAAGAGGATTGTTCTGGTAATAGATGGATAGATTTGGAAAGCAGAGAAGCTTGGAGACTATTACAGTAGTTCTGACCTGAACTGAGAAAAGATTGGTGGCAGGGGAGATGGGCAAGAAAAAAGTAATTGATTCGATAGAAACCATTGGAAAGAACCTGTGGGCAGAAGGCTGAATTCAAGTGATGCTGTTTCTCTGCTGGGGAATATGAATAGTGACGTTAGTGGTGTCTTAATTACTTTTCTTGTTGCTGAGACAAAATACCCAATACCTAAAGTTAATTAAAGGAGGAAAGGTTTATTATAGCCCACAGTTTGTAGAGGTTTCAGTTCACAGTTGGCTATCTACAAGGCAGGGTGGTATGGCAAAGGGGCATTGCAGAGGAGTAAAGAATCCATGGCAGGTAGAAGGCAGCAAAGCAGCAAGTGACAACAGTAGCCCTCTTTCTGTCCCTTAAATTATATCCAAACTGCATGCCCTTAGAGTGGGCTGTTTGATTATCCACACCCAGAAAACTGTGCCAAGCCAGTCAGTGGACTAATTTAGTAATCACACATCCTTGATCCCAGCATCATACACTTAATCCCAGCCACCTTTGAAAAGCCCCATGTGTGAGTGCACAAGGCTTTGGGGTGACATCTAGATACAGGCCATAACAGGTGGAAACTAGAGAAGTCAGGATAAGACATTGTCAGGAGAGGAAGATAAAAAGTTTAATGGAAGTTTTGATAAGCTGTTGGAGCCCTGCAATGGAATAAGATTTGTGGATATATCATCAATCTCCAAGGTTTCTGGGTGGTTTTTCTGGTGACTATTATGAGGAAGACAGTGATGTAGGAAGGTAATGGTGAGAAAAGAAATGATGACTATGTGGAAGTTTTGGCTTAAGGGTTAAGTAATTTTTTTTTGTCTTGTAGGGTTAAGTAATTTAAAAATTTTTTTTTATTTATATAAGGTTTATAATTCAGAATTACTTTGCAACATTTTAACAGAACCTGAAAATTCTGTGTGCTTTTATGAATATCCTTTTTAGTTTTACTTACATCTGTACTGTTCCAAGATGTTTTCTGAGCATTTATAAAATTCCACAGATTTGTCAATCTATAGATTTGTAATGTATGTTAATATTAATGAAGCTAATAGACTCTTGTAAGGTTGTTGCTGTTAGCCCCTTCCTTTGGATAATTTCTCATCACTTAAAACTACCTGGCAACTGAGCGAATGTTTGTTTCTTAAGGAATTTACACTAGATTGTTTTACTTTCTTGATTCTCTTTCATAGTTTTTTTTGTAGTGGGTGGATGGGGGCTTTGTATTATAGTTAAGGTTTTGAGGAATTGATTTCAGTATAGATATGCTTGTAGGAGAATGCCTTGTAAATATGGTTAAATTAATTATCGAACATGACTATATTAAAATATACAAGTATTTGTCCCTTCCACAGCCATTAATAATATGGACCATAATACTTGTGCTTTTATTATTTGAGTTGAGTAGTATATAATTGAAAGCATTGTGAATTTAATGTTGTAAAATGGTTGATGTATTCGGAAACATTGTTCATTCTATAGGTAAGGCTTGATGCACAAATGGATTTCTAGACTTTTTTTGTACACAGGATGAGAACTGTTGGTACTTCATTTGACCCAAAGAATATTTAAGAGTAGCAGTTGTGTGTAATACTGCTATCCTGAAGGCTGAGGCAGTAGTACTATGAGTTGGAGTCCAGCCTGGAGTACATAGGGAGACCCTATCTACAAAAACAACAAAAACAAGAAATCAGTTGTGTCATTGACAATCAGTTGACATTGTGAAGATGTCCTGATTGTGCAGATTTTATTGTAACAATTAATTGTATGATTCCTTGGATAGAATTTAGAAATTATATTGCATATAGAATTAGAAATAAATCAACTTGGCATGTGAATACATGTTAACTTAAAATGATTTTTATATGTAAAATACTTTAATATATACTGTTAGTGTGTGTGTGAGACAAAATCTTTCTGTGTAGTTCAGGCTGGTTCTGAACTCACTAACCCTGGCTGGCCCGAAGGCTGGTCTTGAACTCACAGTGATCCTCCTACCTTAGTCTTGTAAGTGCTGGGGTTACAGGTATGTACCACCCTGCCTGGCTTTAAAATGGTATTTAGTAACAGTTTTATGATATAGTATTAACTCCTTAGAGCTGATTGCTTTTAAAATAATTTTATATACCTTTTGGAGTATTTTAACATCTGGAAGAAAAAGAACAGTATTAATTTCTTCTTAGTAATATAAAAACTGCATAGTTGAGTTGATGTTATCCTTATTCTTTCATTCTATTTACTGATCGACACAGATACAGATGACTGTTTCTGATAATACTTTTAAAGAATTTTAACTTTCAATTTCTAGAATATAATATTCCTACAAAGCTTTGATTTCCCAGAGTGGATATTGTACATCATTATCTAATATATTCTGTTAAGACGCTTGAACTTGGGTTTAGTATTGCTTAGTTACCTGGATTTATAGAATGAGTAGGCTAACTAGGCAGCTGCGATATTTATCCATTATTTTACCAAGCATATATAATGATACTGGTTAAGATGATGATATATTTAATTTAAATTTTTTTGTGCTGTGGGTTGAATCCAGGATCTTCCACATGCAGTTGTAACCCCTGTATGATTTTTTTTTTTTTAAGGATAATTTTTTGTGTGTGTCAGCCTTGGACATTCAAATGTATTTTTCCAGTATATTAGTTCTTTGAAGATTAGCTAAGATAAGGTCATAGGTGGTTCACTGAGACTGACAAACACATCAGAGGAAGATTTATTAAAGCAGGCATAGATTTCTTTGATTGTGACTATTAAAAATGAAATATTGATAGTAGCCCTCAATATATATCCAGTATGTCTGTGGTCTTGATACTGCCAAATTTCTACATGCTCATTATAATTTCCAATAGATGAATAAGTTAATTTATATTTCATTTTGAAGAAACTAAAGAAATTGCCTACAGAAAATGAAAATTGCCCTTAAATCTGTTGTCTACCTCAGATGGCATTATCTGTCTGTCACACTTTCGAACTGCTGTCAGATTGTGTGTAATCACTATGTATAAACTAAATTTGAAAAGTTTACTAAAGTGAATTTCCCGAGTATGAAAAAATGCAACTGCTGAAGCAGAAAAAGATCTCAAAACTAATTAAATTCATACTTTTCTTCCTCTTTGTACTTCTTTGGATTGTATCACCTTTCCCCTTTTGTACAAGTAATACAGGTAGCAATTGACTTTGCATTGTTAGTATTAACAATAGTAGTGCTTGTGCATGCATGTGTACACACAGACACACAGAGATACACACACTTAACATTATGTAGAAAGATGTCTTTCCTATATCTAATTTGACTGACCAGCCCAGTGAATTAGATATTTCTATTGCTGTGTCAATTTAAAATTCTGACTATAATCATTATTAAAATAAGTGAAAGTGATTAAAATAGAATTGACTAAAATTAAACCTTTTTATAAAATACTTTTAGGTAAATTAGCAGCCTGTAAGTGAAATTCAGTTTTGGTCTCCTTTACAGGAATAGCTATTCAGAGTCAGAACCTTATCACGTTTTGCAGTATCTCCTGAGGAAGTCAGAGTCTGAGCCAGCATGAAGACTGAAACTTGTCTTTGATCTGATTTGTAACTGTACTTTTATTCTAACCATGTACAAAGTGGAGGTTATAGCATGGAAACTAACATCTTAGTAAGTGATTTTTATTTTAGTTATTAAATAGTAGCTTTTCTTAAAGTGTCCTTATTAGAGTTTATCAGAATGTGGATTTGGCAGGCAAGAGCACAGTATACTTTTAAAGTGAAAGATTAAAATTTTCATGTTTAGGAAAAATCCCTCAGGAAGTGGGAAAACTGTTACTCTGTTTAGGATTTCTTATTCTCTGTTAAAAATAGGAAGGACTTAAGAATATTAGAGATGGTGGCGTTAGTTTGGGCCATTAAAAGGTCATTTAATAAGTTACTTTATGAATTATTTCTCATTAAATAACATCTTTTTCATAGTGTGGTATTAGTAAGCCCACTGTAAAATCCTAGGAACTTTTTTTTTTTCTTGGTTGTTTTGAGACGGGGTTCTTGCTATGTAGTCCAGGCTGACGTTGGACTCATTATGTAACCCAGGTTAGCCTTGAACTTCAGGTGATTTTCCTGCCTTAGTCTTCCAAGTGCTTGGATTACAAGTGTGCGCCACCATCCCAACCTCCTAGGAACTTTTAAGTAGTGAATATATTTTAATATAAATTGAATTTTAAGTATTTAAAAATTTCAAATATTGACTGAGTATTTAAAATTATATTAGTTTTATTATGCTAGCAGTTATAGATGTTCTGACAATTTGAATTTCCCAATTATAGGTGATATGTAGTGTTGGTTTTTTGTTTTTCTCCAGATAGAAATAGATTTTGAGGAAACGGTATCAAGGAAGCATTTCTGTTTCATAATGTTACTGCGTTAATTGTGGTGTTTATTTCTCAATATCTTTTTTACCGGTGCTAATTAAAAACAGTGAATAATTAGCACTATTAGGCTGTTTTTCTCCTTTAGCAGGAATCATAGAGAGGTCTTTGGTCTTCTGAATTTCTGAATTAATCATACGGTATCTGGATAGTATAATCTATATTTGCAATTTGAGAATGGTTGTATTTGAGATATTATTTGGCTTATGTTCTTCCCCTTCCCTTTGAGTCTTTAACTGTTGGATACTTTCCTAAATTAGATGCTAATGGCTGAGCTGAAATTAAACACTTTTATTAGTGGCATCCCTATTGTAATCTTCCTTTCCATTTAGACAAATATTTCCTGGCTGTTCCTTTGTCATTCCAAAGTACAGTTTTATTAAATCCCAAGGTCTAAGAGTTTTCTTCGGGAATTTATCTCTGCTATCACTTTGAAAACCGAAAAAGAAAAGTAGAATAATTCAGTCTGTAATCTTACATGCATCTTGTGAGAAATGTATATTTTATAAGTTGAAGTGTATTTTTATTTTTTGGACATTTTCAGAGGTAGAAGTATGTAGTTACTATTTTAATAACCATGTCCTAATTATTTATAGCTTCCTGCCTGACATAACTTACTTCGAGAAGTGCACAATGTCAGAACGCGGAATTAAGTGGGCTTGCGAATATTGTACGTATGAAAACTGGCCATCAGCAATCAAATGTACTATGTGTCGTGCCCAAAGGCCTAGTGGAACAATTATTACAGAAGATCCATTTAAAAGTGGTTCAAGTGATGTTGGTAGAGATTGGGATCCTTCCAGCACTGAAGGAGGAAGTAGTCCTTTGATATGTCCAGATTCTAGTGCAAGACCAAGGGTTAAGTCTTCATACAGTATGGAAAATGCAAATAAATGGTCATGCCACATGTGCACATATTTGAACTGGCCAAGAGCAATCAGATGCACCCAGTGCTTATCCCAGCGTAGGACCAGAAGTCCCACAGAATCTCCTCAATCCTCAGGATCTGGCTCAAGACCAGTTGCTTTTTCTGTTGATCCTTGTGAGGAATACAATGATAGAAATAAACTGAACACAAGGACCCAACATTGGACTTGTTCTATTTGCACATATGAAAACTGGGCCAAGGCTAAAAAATGTGTGGTTTGTGATCATCCCAGACCTAATAACATTGAGGCAATAGAGTTGGCAGAGACTGAAGAGGCTTCTTCAATAATAAATGAGCAAGACAGAGCTCGATGGAGGGGAAGCTGCAGTAGTGGTAATAGCCAAAGAAGATCACCACCTACTACAAAACGAGACTCTGAAGTGAAAATGGATTTTCAGAGGATTGAGTTTGCTGGTGCTGTTGGAAGCAAGGAGGAACTTGAAGTGGACTTTAAAAAACTAAAGCAAATTAAAAACAGGATGAAAAAGACTGATTGGCTATTCCTCAGTGCTTGTGTGGGTAAGTTTCTATTTTCTGCATTTTTGGAATGAGATAGGAAAAGGCATTAAATATGAGATGAAAAGTATAAGTAGTCAGTATTATTTAACAGTGAGCTCATTTAGCATGATAGCTGTATTCTTGTGGTTTTTTTGCGGGGGTTGTTACTGGGAATCAAACTCTGGACCTTGTACTTCCCAGGCAGGCGCTCTGCAGCTGAGCTATATCCGTGGCTTGATAGCTGTATTCTTGAGTATGCATGCATAAGAATCTGTTTTTGAGCATATCAGCTTTGTACTAATTTGCCTATATTTGTGTACCCCGCTCTTATTTCTTGGGTACATATTAGGGGAGAAAAGTTAAAGCAAACTTACTGCATGTTGGCAAAAAACATACACCTAGTCTTTAAAACTGTTACACTTCATTGTACCAAGATGTGACTTAGGAATACCAGCTGCTGTTTCTCAGTATTTGTAAACAGTGCAAGCATCTTGTGATGATAGAGGATTTAGTCAGATGTTAAAAATATCACAAAAATGTATGACTCCAGGAAGTTGAGCAAACATAATACTGACCTTGAAAATGTTGACATTAAATACATATGTAGTGAGTGTTTGCAGACTTCATGAAACTGATTTCACTTAGCCATTTTATTCCACAGTTCAAGTTACGATTTGTAAGTATTGTGTTTTTATTGATCTCATAAGGATGTTTGGAATACTGGGCCCTGTCATTAGTTCAGAGCTGTTAAATGATAGACATGAGAGCAGGGTTTTTTTCCTGGTTATTGACCTTGTGAATTATTTGTGAAGTATTTCACAAAAGTAGTTACTCGAACTTTTAGTTTCTGTTTTCAGTATGTTAGATTTTATAGTTTGAATTATCTCAATGGAGTACTTATTTTTTTAGGGGGTTGCTGGCTTTGATACTCATTTTTGTTAAGAAAATTTTGAGTGGTTAGTAAAGATAAATGGTTTTTTTTTTGAGGTAGGGTCTCACTATATAGTGCAGGCTGGCCTTGAACTTGATTATGTAGCCCAGGCTGGCCTCAAACTCATGATGATCCTCCTGCCTCAGCCTCCTGAGTGCTGGGATTAATAGGTGTGTGCCACCATGACTGGCAGTAAAGATAAATTTTGTGTGGAGCAATAGCAGATAAATTTTGTGTGGACTGAATGTGATTTAGCTATATTTTTTCCTGGCTATTATTTCTTGTCTTTAAGGCTGTTCTCCTTGTTGCTGCCTTTCGACATATCATTAGTTCTTTTGAGTATCTGTCCTTCAACTGCTTTGTGCTTTAATGGCTGTTTTTTTCTTGTACTGTGGCTTGGACACAGGACCTTCATACTGAAATACATCCCCAGTTCTTTTTTTATTTTAAAATTTGAGAGAAAGTCTCACTAAGTTGCCCATACTTGGGTGAACCTCCTGTCTCAGCCTCCTAGAGTGCTGGATTATAAGCTTGTGCCACCACACACCTGGCTTCATTTTAATGATGGAACAAAAACTCTTAGCAGGGTCAGTATTAGACTGTTCTTGTTTCATTTGCAAGTTTTTTTGTTGAGATGGCTGTTGCTACCCCATAATGTCTGGATTCGTAGGGCTAAGGATTGATTGTATTTGGTTCTTGGTAATTTGGGTTCTTTTTTTGTTATCAGAAAATATTGTTGACCACTGACTTTACAGTGTCATTCTGAACTGTTACACAAAAAGTTATGAAACTATCTTTATTGAGTAGTCACATCCTGATTTGTAAATACTGACATATGTTAAAAATTTTTAAAAAATTGTTTACATTATATTGGGTAAATAAAACAAAACCTAGGCAGTAAGGCTAATAGTTCATGTACTGAAAATTAATCTTTATTCTTCCCCCTTTCTCCCTGCTTTATGTTCCCCAGATTTCATTATAGTTCTATATATTATGGCTTATTGATATCATGCATTAGAGATCATCTCCATAGTTATACACTAAGCATGAAATTGTACATTGAGTATAAACTGAGGGACTTTGTAAAGTTGGAAAACATTCTCAACTGTAGGCCAACTTTGTAGCTGGTAAAATAGGAATGAGGAAGTTGAGTTGTTGAGAAAATAAAGTAAAACAATAGCAGTATGATTTCAGACATCTTTACGTGGTTACTGGTTGTAAGTTTTACCTAAGTCAGATTGTCTTATGTGGTGAATGGGTATTTGGGGTGGCAGTGCTAAAACTGCCATCAGTAAAAGTGGAATCTGGGGTGGAAGCTAAGATGGTAAAGGTGGGGGAGTAAATATAAATCCAGTTTTTTCAAGCTTGTCTGTTGTTGATGCTCTGTATTTTTAGATCATGTCAGTATTTGTCAAAAATTGCCCTTCCCGCTGGGTAGACAGCAGCGTAACTAAAGATTGGGGTAGCACTACTGAATACACTGTTTTTGTTTTACTGTTGTATTCAGTCAGTTGCCTTATGACATTGCATTTGTTTGTGATCCAGATCCTTGAAAGACAGTCAGGTAAGAACCTGTAAACTAAATCTGTTCGATAACTTATATATCTGAATTTTAGATTCATGTATTCATCTGCCCGCTCAGCATTTCTCCTTGAATGTGTAATGTTTCAGTCTTATTTCTAAAACTTGAGTTGGTCTCCCTCAAGTCTGCTCTCGTAGTCTCCCATCTCAGTTGTTGGCAAATTCAGTATTCTGTTGTATGTGTCAAAAGCTGAGGTCATTCGTGATTCTCCTACATTTCTCTTACACCCGTTTCTATTTGTCAGAATATCCTATTGACTTTACCTTCAAAATATATCCAGAATATAACCACTTTTCACCATCTTGTTCCACCCCTCCCCCCTGTTGTCACTTACAGTCTGCTTTTAATATAGGAGCTACTCTTAAAAAAACAAAACCAAAAAATCCTCTGCTTGGAACTCTCTAGGGACTACCTGTGTGACTAAGAGTAAAAGCCAGAGCCCTTTAAAGACCAAAGGCTGTGTATATACTCTGTGTCTCTTTTCTCCCAGTTCACATTGTTCACCTCTGAACTCTACTGTCAACTTTGGCTCATTTCACTCTGACTACCTTTTCTGTTTTTACCTACAAGCCTTAGGCAGTGGTGGTGAACCTGTGGCACCTGTGCAGCAACTGGCGGCTGTTTGTTATCATTGAAAGCTCTAAAAGGTTCTCCATCATGGGCTTAGGACTTTCCACTGCTTACATTACTCTTTCCAAATGTAGGATTTGCTAAACAACTTCCTTCACTTATTTTCTCAAATAATGCCTTCTCAGTGAGACACTCCTGACTGCTATATCTAAAATTTCATCTTTTTCCTATACCCCCTGCTTCCGTTTTTAATTTTCTTCATAACACTTGTAACCTCCTGATGTATTTGATCATTGTGTTTATTATTTAGCTTGTCCCTTGAAATTTAGGTTTCTGATGGTCTAGACTTGTGAATATTTGGCTCAGCTGCTTTCTAGTACTGTACTAGAACAGGGCCTGCTACATATTGGTTACTCATATTTGTTAAGTCAGTCAGTACATGAACCTTTTTGGGAGTTGGGGGGTCTAGATGAACAGACTGTTACCCTGCTTCTTTCCTGAATTTCTAGATTCTTTGCTTTCTTTCTAGCTTTCTGTATATTTCTTCACCTTACAGACTACTAGGGACTTGACCCAGTGGCACTAGGTCTCCTCCTTCCTGGTGTCAGACTGAAGTGGTAAGTGTGGTGGAATCTTAGCTGGCAAGGGTAGAGAAACCTCAGTTTGTCACAAGGCAGTCTGTGAATACGAAATGTTTGAAGTCAGAATTTTTTTTCCCTTACTTTTACTACTTTCTCTATCTTTGTACTTTCACTGACAGTAGTGTTTGATTAAACATTGTTTCCTGTACCTTAAGTGCTATCAAATAATTTTTTTTTTTTTTTTTGGAGGCAGGGTCCTGCTTTGTACTGGACCTTGTCTCCAAAAAAGGCTGACCTCTAACTCATGGCAATCCTCCTCCTGCCTCAGCCTCCTGATTGCTGGAATCAGAGTGCACCACCATGCCTGGCTGAATAAAATTTTTGTATTTGGTTCTTGGCTGACCTCTAACTCATGGCAATCCTCCTCCTGCCTCAGCCTCCTGATTGCTGGGATCAGAGTGTACCACCATGCCTGGCTGAGTAGAATTTTTATATGAAAATGTTTTCTTTCTCATTGGACCTGTAACCTCCTGCTTGCGATTTTTCTCACTGTGTGTGTGTGTGTACGCTCGCACGCATGTGTGCGCACACACGCATGTATTGTTGGGGATGTGACTCAGGGTCTTGTTGGATACTTTCCTAAAGTCAAGCACCCTGTCACTGAACTACACTTCATACCCCATTTTGTTTCACTTTTAATTAGTATCTTTTTTAGTTTGCCCAGTGTGCCTGCTAATGAAGCTGGGAAAGAACTGATGTGTGGTGAGGGTGTTGAAAGTATAAGGGTAAGGAGTCAGGCTCGGTTGGGTATGGTAGCATGTGCCTGTAATGCCAGCACTCAGGGGCAAGCCCAGCCTGGGCTACATAGTGAGTTCAAGGCTAGACTGAATTATATAGCAAGACTCAAAAAAAACCAAAACAAAACAAATAAAAAAGGAATTAAGCTTAAAGGCTGGAGGTGTAGCTCAGAGGTAGTGCACTTGTCTAGCACATACAAGGCCCCGAGCATCTATAACAAGTACAGGTTGAAACTGGAATTTGTATACAGAAATACTTGTTTGTTCAATAGCAGTGGTATGTACAACTTTTAACTTTAAAGAATGTGTGAATCAGTAATGCTTCCTGTGGTGCATTGATACTTTGGGGTGACTTGCAGTTTGTACTAGTATCTTCTTGAGAATCAATCACTTGTTTATAAGTGGAACCAGAATCTCTCTGTCAAGGAACAAGCTGAAATGGAATCCTGAAAATTGTAGCCTTGATTATTTCTGAATGAAATTTGTCATGCTTTATGATCTTGGCATATACAAAAACAGGTGATTTTAAAAATAACAGAAAATAGAGTTAATCCTGGAAT